GGACATCAAAGTTAATAAAAAAATAAGATTTTTGTAAAAAATTATTTTTTATATTTTTAATTTTATAATGCTATAAATTTTTGAAAAATGTATAAATCAATACAATTTTTTTATGATAAATACTATTTATAGACCTAAGATTTATATGAAATTAACATAGATTAAATATAAAGTTAAACTTATTTAAAATCTTCGTTTTTATTGAGTTAAGTAAACACGGCAGTAGGGAGAAGTATAGATATTACAAAATAGTGGTGCTAATACCTTTAACTATATACATTTTGTGTTAATTTGAATAATCGTTTAGTAAAATACGGACCCTCTAAAAATAACATATGTACATAGTTTTCATTTTAAAGATGTAAAAATAAAATTAGTAATACAATAAAAGTAAAAAAAAAAATAGAAGCCTTAAGGCTTCTAACTTAAAAATAACGCTGAGTAAATGTTAACTAAATAAATAAACTACGTCTTATATTAAAATGAGTGCAATATTGATACTGCCATTTACTTTTTACTGTTAATTGTTGTTTCTACGTTTTATATAAAAATGAATCTAAAATTTTATTTTAGTGTTTCAATTTTGTGGAGCTTGGAAAATGTTTTAACGTCTTATTATAGTTATACTGAGTTCAAATTATACTTAGTTGAAGTAATAAAACACATTATATATCATGATCAATTTCAAGAGAAATCAGATTCATGGGATAATTTAAATACAACCGACGACTCTACAAATTTATTAAACAAATCATTTAAGGAAAATATTAATGATCTTAATCTTACACATCAACTATTTAGTTCCATATTAATTTCAATTAACAATAGATATACTAAATTTTTAAAAGTTTATAATAGTTATATAACGATAATGATAAGTGAATGTGAAAATTATTACGATAAAAAATTAATCAACAAATTTATTGAATGCACTAAATTAATTCATGGTGTTGTTTTTGATTCAAATGGTATGTTTCAAACTTTATATGACAATTTGACATTTATCAATAGCTTGGAATTAAATACTATAGCTTCTGAATACGTAACGCCATTAACTATAACTAATGAAATTCATNTAAATTGCATTAATAATATTTTTCATGGTATTCGTAATAGTAGTTTTCTATAAAACAAAATCAATTCAATTTATGTTGATATAAATTATGTTGGGCTAGAAATTTGTGAACATTTTTTATTGAATTTCTATTATATTATATATAATCTATAAACTATTGAAAGTAATTTGTATAATTTAATTAGAGCATAAGTAAATCATTTTGAATTTTTTATTTCTATTAAGAAATTTAATGTATAAGGCTCAGTATACCCGAAACGTAGCACAGTGAAAAACAAAAATAGAAGAAACTATTAACTTTATAGTTAAAGTTAATACCCTTGGAAATTGAAAAAAATTTCTCTCGTTCCCATAAAAGGAGATATCCATAAAAAAATTATAGTTTTTGAAATCGACAAATTTTTGACATTTTTTAAACTTCTAAACATATTTTTTTTTATTATTCTATCAGTTTTTAAGAAAAGACCAAAACATAGTAAATCTAAGTTACAACACTCCCCTCTGCCTATTTAATAATTTATATATTTACGCTATCACGCTTAGGGTTCGAGGTTCCATCCTGCCTGCCTGTAGCAAGGATTTTTTTGTATTTTTTTCTTAATTCTATTTGGTTAGAAAAAAAAAATTCAAATTATTTGATTTTTATCTCATTTAGATTCAATAACTTCAATAAATATAAAGGATCCTATCACTATAGTTTCCCCTTGTGAGAAAAAATTTATATTCATGTTAATATTATTTTACTATGTGGTTTTTTTTGTGGCTACGATTTATTTTGCCAACCCTCACTAGACCTACGTTCTTCAAAGATACGGTCAAATGATTACAATTCGTATTTAGTTGAAAATATTACCCTCAAAGTTTGAAAACAAATCCCTGAATTAAATAAAGAGTAGCTGAACAGCTTTATAATCAAATTTTATATTACGCTCAATTGAGTAGATTTATTTGACAACTTTTTTTAATTGGTTTTTTAATTAAAGTAAATCATTAAAAATAATCGAGTTCTGAATGTTTCTACTATATAATTTTTTTAAACACCAAAACTTAGAAATAATTACTGCGATTTCTATTTAAGTTATCTATTACGATAAAAATAGAAAAAAATATTGAGCTTTTCTGATAATTTACTGTAAATAAAAATTTTAAAACTTTCCTGACTGATATTAATCTTAACAATACTAATTTTTTAATTCTCATAAAATGTTCTATTTAATGATGTCAATTTTAAACTTGCAAGTTGAGCTAAAATTTATGGCAACAAATTCAACTTTTTTTACCATAAACCGGCAAAAAACCTTTAGCTTGTTTTTGATATTTGGTGCTCTTTGTAATAAAAAACGTCCTCGACTGTATATTTTGTTTTGACGTGATCGGTCGAAGGTGAGGTGGTAATTTTTGTGGTTTGTTGTTCGCGCGCTACTCGGCCGTGGTAAACAGTGGCGGAAGCTACCGGCTCTAAATGTTGTACTGCCCAGTCTCCCGGCCGTTTCCCTTCCCTTTCCAGGATGAGTACAGGCGGGGGGGTAGCCGCATTGTTCGTTACAGCGATTGCGTAACGTAAACATTAGCGGGGGTAGTTTTAAGTCCCAAAAGGAGTGGCTAGACTCGATTAATAATGTGCAAAGTCACTTCTTTAATTCTTGGTTCCTACGTTGTACCGAATTGACGCGCAGGCGGTATATCAGCGTAGTCCGGTTGACCGCGTAGATCATTTCCTTCGACACCAGCGACTTGTCGTTGTCGCTTAAAACTACCCGGTCGTATCCGAAGCGCTAGAAAAATTCGCGCTTTGGCATATCAAAAATTGTTTTTGTCGGGTACTCTTCGGTCCATCTATTGAAACAGTCAGTGACCACTATCAAGTTCGTTTTGCCCCTGTGTGTTTTGGGGTACGGGCCCATTAGGTCTATACTAATTACTTACCGTGGCTGTCTCGGTTGGCGGCTGATTATTGGGTCTTCTGGGCGTCTGTTTAGGGGCTTAGTGCACGCACAAATATGACACGATTTCACGTACACGCGAACGAAATTCTTTAACCCCTCACAGTACAACCGTTTTTTTATCATTCAAGGAGGACACTTATCGCCCATATTATTTTTACTATTTATAAATGACGTCAAAGATATATTCAAAAACAGTAATATCATAATGACGAATTGAAACTATATATGTCTATTTATTCACGCGAGGACTGTTTTAAATTAAAAAATTAATTTGGACTCGTTTTATTTATGGTGTTTGTTAAATGGTTTAAATGTAAATGCGGTAAAATGCTCACAAATTTCGTTTTCTCGACGTAAATCAAAGATTATCTTCCAATATAAAATAAATTGTTCAGAATTAATGATTGTAACTCAGATAACAGACCTAGGTATCTTACTAACAGATGATTTATCTTTTAACAATCACATTACTTTGATGTGCAACAAAGCTTTTCGATTTTTCGGTTTTATTAGGCGTAATTGTTCAGAATTCGAAAATCCAAATTAGAATATGGCTCAGTTATCTGGAATCCATATCAAACTAATTTAACTAATAAGATTGAACGCGTTCAGAATAGATTCTTACGGGTACTTGCATTTAAAACCGATATATCGCTGGAGAATATAGCGGGCGAGTACGGAATCGAATTACTTGAAACTAGAAGAAAGTTTCACGATGCAGCTGGTTACACAAACTACTTAATTCTTCAATCATATGTCCTGAGTTACTTGGACAAATACCTATAAACGTCCCTCAAACTAATGCTCGTGTGTCACAAACGTTCTATACATCAACTTACCCCAAAACTACAGTCTTTTTGCACCGATCAATAGAATGTTAACTTTAAGCAACTCGATAAATAATTTTGATTTTTTTTACGATAACTTGGCCAGGTTAAAATCATTAATGTAATTATAGATGTTTATGTGGTTTTTTATTTCTAAATTCCTTGTTTATCAATAATTGTATAATAACTTCAGTATGAACTGATTTAAATTTGTAATTCTGATTTCTTATCTGTTATCTTACCTGTATTGATCATGTAAGCTGTTCTGAGCCAAATTTGGGCGTATACCCATTAATAAATAAATAAATAAAAATGTCAAGATGAATTGTACATGCAGCATAATCACAGAAAATTCTTTATCAGTCAGAAAATCATGCCCTAGAAGTACGTTAAAGTACAAATTATCCAAGATCCAAAATTAATTGTCAGATTTGCGATGTTCGCAATTAAAGTAGCGGTGCTGGCGGTGGATGTTGTGTGGTCATCTGTTAGTCTAACCCCGTTGTGGGTCTTTTGTGCACAATTTCGTATTTATGGGCTATTGCCGGGGTGATAAATGACTTTTACGCTTGTGATTCAAGTAATGCCGTCACAAAGCCGTTATTAAGTTGAAGTTCCACGTTGAGAGTTATTATTTTACATGGGCATGTTTATTTGACAAAACTCGTGTAGTTTATGGTTCAAACGGTAAGTGTATGAACGGTTTGTCTACCGGAGTAGTCACTCGCCATAAGTGGGTAAGCCATTTCGGCTAGCGGATATCTCACTATGACCAAAATATTTTGGGTTACACTATTTTCATATAATATGGGGACTTTTGTTTTCTCGGCTGCGTGATTAATTTTTTTAAAGATCAGTTTTTATAAATTTTTTACTATTCATATCTATAATATGTGTAAACTCCATCAAATGTATTGATTATCCTGTATATTAAATCATACCATAGAATTATTTCATATTTTTTTATGTATGATGAATATATTTAAATTATTTAACAGTAAAAATATGATGTATAATTAAAATTAAAATTAAATTGATTACCATTTTAATTTATGAATATTTTAAATTAATTTTAAATAGTATCACATACAAATGATCAACAATTTTTGTTATTAAACTTTTCTTAAACATAAATATTACATTTTCAAGTTTTGCACAATGAAGTAAAATGGAGCACTAAGAGGCATTCTTCAAATAAAATCAATAGATTATTCAAACACAGCGGTTGGAAAAATATGACTGACGTAAATTATATCACATATTTGAAGTGCAATTTTACATTAATAGATATAATTCAAAACACCTATAGATATGATAAACAAATACGTTGTATGACGTTATTACTTGGATGTTCTTACGCCAATATTTTAAAGAATATTTTCTTTTTATTAAATAATTTTCATGACCACTGTAAATATTTTACAAATCATAAAAATTTAAACAGTTATAAGTATGATTGTACAATTGAACTTTTAAAAACTATACCTTTTTTAACTTCATTAGTAATACATATGGGAGGCGCCTTAGAAGCATTAGATAAAACCCATAAACGTCCAGTAGAAAATAATCATATAAAACAATTTATTTTAAATACATTATTAAAGGAATTGCAAAATGAAAAAATTCTGAAATTATTAACACTCTCACAAATAAATCAATTAAATGTCGATGAAAAATTATTAAAAATATTAAGTTACATTACTGAATGGGACGTAGATTTAAATATAGGCATGAATATTTGTAACATAAATTCTGAAAGTCACATTTCATTATGGAAAGATTTGAGTAATGTATATAACAATACGCATAAAGATGAAAGTAATATCAAATTGTATAATTATATGAACTATAAAATAGTAAAATTTTCTCAGTGGGCAATCCAAGAAAAGTATGTTAATTTAGGGTTTATATTCAACACTGCTAACAATAAAACTAGTGTACCAGCTCTACAAGAATCAACAGAAGAAGGTAAAAATATTTTTATTTATTTATTTATTTATATTTTATTTTAGCCATTATTCTTTTAGTAATATTTCAAGTTTAAAATTATGGATACATTGTACGTTTTTAAGAAACAATTTTTTGATTAATTTTTTTACCTTCTAATAAATAAAATCTTCAATAAGTTATAAACTATAAAAGACATATTTATATAAGTTATTTATTCTAATTATTCACTTCGATTCAGAATATAGAAATATAATAACTTAAAAATAACATAACCAAATTGTAAATTTCTAGAGTATTTTCAAGATCCTACAAACACTTCTACTCAATTGATGAATGAAGAAACTATTGGAGGTATTGATTTACTTAGAGTTAAAATTCTAGTCCTACTTTTTTATATTTTAATTTATAATAATAAAGTATTTGAAAAAAAATTTTTTATACGTTTGTATTAATTTTAAGTAAAGTTATTACGTGATTAATTAGTGCAATTGACTAACGAGGAAAACATTTTCTTATTTATATTATTCAACTATTGACAGACGTCATTTAATAATAAATATAGAACTTAGGAATAAAATAAGCTAAAAATAACATAACCAATTGTAAATTTCTAGAGTATTTTCAAGATCCTACAAACACTTCTACTCAAATGATGAATGAAGAAACTATTGGAGGTATTGATTTACTTAGAGTTAAAATTCTAGTCCTACTTTTTTATATTTTAATTTATAATAATAAAGTATTTGAAAAAAAATTTTTTATACGTTTGTATTAATTTTAAGTAAAGTTATTACGTGATTAATTAGTGCAATTGACTAACGAGGAAAACATTTTCTTATTTATATTATTCAACTATTGACAGACGTCATTTAATAATAAATATAGAACTTAGGAATAAAATAAGCTAAAAATAACATAACCAATTGTAAATTTCTAGAGTATTTTCAAGATCCTACAAACACTTCTACTCAATTGATGAATGAAGAAACTATTGGAGGTATTGATTTACTTAGAGTTAAAATTCTAGTCCTACTTTTTTATATTTTAATTTATAATAATAAAGTATTTGAAAAAAAATTTTTTATACGTTTGTATTAATTTTAAGTAAAGTTATTACGTGATTAATTAGTGCAATTGACTAACGAGGAAAACATTTTCTTATTTATATTATTCAACTATTGACAGACGTCATTTAATAATAAATATAGAACTTAGGAATAAAATAAGCTAAAAATAACATAACCAATTGTAAATTTCTAGAGTATTTTCAAGATCCTACAAACACTTCTACTCAAATGATGAATGAAGAAACTATTGGAGGTATTGATTTACTTAGAGTTAAAATTCTAGTCCTACTTTTTTATATTTTAATTTATAATAATAAAGTATTTGAAAAAAAATTTTTTATACGTTTGTATTAATTTTAAGTAAAGTTATTACGTGATTAATTAGTGCAATTGACTAACGAGGAAAACATTTTCTTATTTATATTATTCAACTATTGACAGACGTCATTTAATAATAAATATAGAACTTAGGAATAAAATAAGCTAAAAATAACATAACCAATTGTAAATTTCTAGAGTATTTTCAAGATCCTACAAACACTTCTACTCAAATGATGAATGAAGAAACTATTGGAGGTATTGATTTACTTAGAGTTAAAATTCTAGTCCTACTTTTTTATATTTTAATTTATAATAATAAAGTATTTGAAAAAAAATTTTTTATACGTTTGTATTAATTTTAAGTAAAGTTATTACGTGATTAATTAGTGCAATTGACTAACGAGGAAAACATTTTCTTATTTATATTATTCAACTATTGACAGACGTCATTTAATAATAAATATAGAACTTAGGAATAAAATAAGCTAAAAATAACATAACCAATTGTAAATTTCTAGAGTATTTTCAAGATCCTACAAACACTTCTACTCAAATGATGAATGAAGAAACTATTGGAGGTATTAATTTACTTAAAGTTAAAATTCTAGTCCTAGTTTTTTATATTTTAATTTATAATAATAAAGTATAAATTTCTAAAAAAAATGATTGTTTTTTCTCCTGAATTAACAATTGATTTTTACAAATATAATCAAATTGTATTATACGCTTAATTTTTTATATGCCANAAAAATTCATTAATTTGTTAAAATTAAATATTATCTACAAATTTTTTTATATGCAAATACTATTTTTTAATAATATTAAAACTTAGAAGTGATAGAAAAAGTCTAATTGCACATTTGGAAACATTGCGAAAAGTTGATTTTGAATAGTATATTTTTGTTTCTGATGAAAGTTCCTCGTAGTCCAGTGTATAAAACTTATAACTTTGTTAAATGTTATAACTTTAACAAAAATGACCAAATCAGTATAATTTTTTTTATTTAGATGCATGTCTTTTCTATCATTTGTTTTTTTTATAAATCTAACTCTTTACCTGCCCACAAGTGGGATTCAAAATTATAACTTTCTTTTATTTTAGCTAAAGTAAATCATTAAAATTAATTCAGTTCTGGATATGTCAATTGTAGAATCTTTTTAAATACTAAAAATTACTTAGAAATGATTACTATGATTTCTATTTAGGTGTTCTATTACGACAAAAATACAAAAAAATAATGAGTTTTTCTGATAAATATACTGTAAATAGTAATTATAAAATTTCCTGACTGCATATTAGTCTTAAAAATAGCATAGTTTTAATTCTCATAAAA